TCTACGTTTCTCATCTCCATTCGCATTCCCCCCCCCATCCTCATCCGTTTCTATGCACAACAACCCCCTCTAATTCCCCACACCATCCCTCGCTCACCCTCCCCTTTTCTCTCTCTCCAGCGCTCACGAAACGAAGCCAAGACTCTTCATCTAGTAGGAGGCAGAAGGCTTTGAAGAGATCAAAGCCAAGGCCGCGAGCAGTTGTGCGCCCTTGGAATACGCCGCAGCTCTCTGCTCCACAGCCCCCTTTTTCCAGCGTCATGTCGGATTGCAGCTGGATTGCATTTCGCCAGTTTTCTTAATGCTCTCGGTTTTGACTTTGACATCACTGATCCCCCCAACACACACGCACACCTTCGACACAAACGAGTGAGAACGGAAGACAGAAAAAAAGACAAAAACAAGGGAGCGAAAAAGAGAAATCAAAGAGAGCGAGGTTAAAACGAAAAAGCTGGAAAAGAAAGGAGAAAAAAGGAGGAGAGGGAGCAGGAGAGATTGACAGGGTGATTTTTATTTTCACAACTCCATAATTGGCCAGTTCAAAGGCGGATGAAAAAAGGAAGCATTTGTTTTCAATTCTGCAGCAGATATGAAAGGAGCGACAAACTTTTATGAGTTTCCCAAAAATTAAAGACAGGCTCTTTTCACATTCAAAGAACAGGGTGTTTTTTATGACCAAGACCACACAAAAAGAGCTGATAGCAAAGCCCTCCCCTCTCGTCCACTGCAAACACGAGTTGGCTGCCTGACTATGAGAAATAGAAAGAGTCTGAGAAATCGGAGGCAGAGGGATGGTTTGATGTGCAACACAAAGAGAGGGAGTGAGCGCATGTGAGAAAGGGGCTGCATCTATACATCCATTAAACAGCCTCGCTAATAAAGCCTGGTGGCAAGCCATCTTTTGTACTGTAACTCAGAGAAACCCTTTACCAAACTCCTACACCAGGGAGCATGAATATTTCAGTGGTGTCTGATCCGCGGAGCATGTGAAGCTCCTTTACCCCCACACACACAAACAGCCCGGCAAAAAAAAATAATGAGCTTCAGAAAAATATGAAAAAGTGAACCTAGTGGCACAGAGCCTCTATTGATCAGTAAAAAGCAGTGCAAATGAAGTTCAGAGATGCATGCATGCAAACAATGCAGTTTCGATCACTGTCACTGACGGATTTCTCTTGAGATGACGACTGTTTGACGAGACACTCGTGTTTCTACATGCCGCTGCAGAGCAAAAACTACCAATACTACACAATCTCCAACAGTTATATAACTAGCGTGATTTGACAGAAGAGGGTTACTGACACGCATCGAATGTCACTTCTCAAACAAACAATTGTAAAATGAGAAAAACAAGGGGATTTTTGGTCATCCGAGACTAAACGAGCTTCAAATGACACTGCGAATGAGAATACGCAAAATGAAGCAACATACATTACATGAAAAGGAGTAAAAAACATCAATAAATAAGTGCAAAAGAAAAACAACCAAGACTGGGACAAGAGCATCAGCTACTGTTGTCAAAATAAAACAGGGCTTAAAGAGGCCGCTGGAGGGTGATGGAGGTCACAGCCGGGCCTGGAGACATAACATGCAGGAAAAGTGATGACAACTGTGGCGCAAAGACAAAACACAACCGTGCACTTCACTTGCATGTGCCCTCAGGATCATCAACAGGTGCTACCGCTGGTTTGCATAATAGCTGTGCATTAAGAGGTCAAGAAATAATGCTAATTGTTCTAGCCTGTTCAAAGCCTGTCCAAAATAACAACAATAATTTGTAGCAGATATATTGTTTGTCTAATAAACCTGACATTGCATATAACGAATATTGTTGGTAAATCACATCTGATAAATGCATAAAAAACTGGAGATTTAGGCAAATGGGACTAGCTAGCAGAGCTAAGATAAATAAACATAACTGCACTACTTGAATACACGCAAAAGCAATTTGTTTGTGGAGTCTCCTACTATAAAGACGTTTCAATTAACAAATTTTAGTGGGTCGTTTGACAGTAACATTTCAGGGGGTGAAATGCCCCATGGAAGCAAACCTTTCAAAAATCACTTAATAACACTGCCAGCCTTTTTGCTTTGTACATCTGACACATGGATTCAATATGGCTGTGGTAACCAGCCGATGTAAACACAGTATCAATGGCCCTCTGTTCAAAAACCCTGGGTCTGTACCAGTGCACTTCAAAGGGCCTGTGGGCTGCTGAAATCTGCGAGGTCTAGGCCACGCTGGTGTTCAGACCTGCTCAGCAGATGATATGACTACTTGTTTGCCCCTTATCACCCATGTGTGGGGGCGGTGCATCAAAAGACGATATGATACGTGTTTAAAGAGCGTCAGAGAGGTATATGGGTGAGTTTAGAAATGCAGATTTTGATGTGAATAACAATAATACTGAAAACTACTAAAACGCAATAAAAACGTGCTACTTATATATTGTTTACGAAAACCACACACAAGGGCTGCTGGGAATTGTAGTTTCTTTGAATGGTGCAGAAAGGGACAGACCGAGAGTTGAAGATCCAGCTGTGTGAAATCTCTTTAGGTAAAGCCAGGGTTTGGGGGGGGTTTGTGATTCCACGGCATGTCCACGCTGAGAGATCCGTCACATCCCACATCAAAGCAGGCCGAGTGTGAGTGTGTATCTTGGGTCGGTTCTTCCCAAGCTCCACTGCCAGAAGCCAATCAGGATGGGGGAGGAAAACGGCACAAGGACTGAAGCTGCTCCACCAGCAGCTCCAGCAAATGTATTACAGTAGAGGTCCATCCATATGGAGAGCAAACTAACCATCAAAACAGCCTTTACGATAACATGTCTATTTAAATTATAAATTAACCCACTTTCCGCACATTTAATCATTTTTAACATTTTCCATAAGTCATTTTCTTTTTTTCCCAAATTGTTTTTTAACTGCTCTTCTCTGAGAACTGAGAATATGCATATGAGAAACAAAAATTTGAAATCAAACAAATGATTTTTGCAATGTTTCCCGATGATAAATTTTGTATTCTTTGATAAGTGAAATCTGCTGATAACAACTTCACAAACAAATATACTAAATCTATGCTAAAACCGAAAAGTGCAGTACACAATTCACTATACTGAATTAAGTTGGGCTGTCATTGAAAGCGCCATCTATTGTGCCTGGGTAAATTTGGTTTTCATTTAACTACAACAAATATTTGTTTACTCTTCATGTGAGTATACCACTCATTTTTTATATTTATTTCGTAACACGTTAGGTGTGAAAAAGCCTTCAAATCAGCACATTCGGAAAAATCTTAAACTAATTTAGGGGTCACAGGGCAAACATGTAACATCTCAAACACTTTTCCTGAGATGAAATTTTGTGCCTGAACTTTAAATAATCCAATTTAAGAAGAAGAAATGAAAGAGAGGGGATGGGGAACAGATTATACAATTCAATGAAATCCAGGACCCCATCACCCCATTCTTTTCTCCAACTGATTAAAAGGGGCAGAGATAAGCGGAACTACATGAAACGTCCCGGCGCGAGGGAAATCATTTCAAAAGGAGGAAATGCCTAGGTTGTCTTAATTCCCAATTCGCCATTTCATACGAATGTTAAAATATTACAACTTCAAAGCTACAGGCACCAGAGACAATGCAGCGCCAGTGTTTACCTGGAAACATTATCTGCTGACCCCAAGTTAGTCATCTCAAAGGAGCCCTGGATGCCATTTCCAGATGTCGTCCATCAGATTAGAGCAACATGTAAAGCTTTCATGGATCACTAAGCACAATGATGCCAATATCCAATATACAGAACACTGTACCCATGTGGCTGGCGCTTCACCAGGTAGCAAGACCCACCCCAAAAAAATCTGCTGACCACCACAAAATTGCCTGCTTCATGACTGGGTGGGAGTTCAGCCACTGGAATGTCATAGCCAATGGAAATCAATCCAAACTTCAGGGGAATGAAGGGGGAGGAAGGGGAGGAAAGAAGATGCCTTTGATCTCGCTGAAAACTGATCCCAGACCTTGGAGATACTGTGTCCGAATATTTGAGCCACCGCAAAGAAGAGAGAGAGACAACAGGCGGAGGAGGTTGAGGAAATGGATCTGGCATGATTGGGATTTTATTGCACACCAAGTGAAAAAAGGCAAAATTTGGGTAAGTTGCAAATGATTCTGCAACACCTCTGCAAAAATCTTTGCATCAGTATTAAAAAAAATCTGCTTTTAGTACCTCCCAAGCGAAGGCTTTAAATCACAAAGGATTCCCACAGATGTACATTGCTGACCCAATTGCCAACAAACTGCTAAACCACATCTTGTTGTGTAACAATGCATATGCTTAAGTAAAACTGCTTAAAAAGAACTAAACAATAAAAACGTTAAAATCAGAACCATTTATCCCAAAAGCTTAGAGCAACTACAGGTCAACTGCAGCATCATCTTCTGTTTGGGGTCCGTCGCCACATCGGCGAAAACCGAACTATAATCGCACAGCCGCAGACTGATAAAGGAGCTGAATTCAGAGCTGTGCAAACAATGGATGAGATGAGCTCAGCGGAGAAAGCCCTGTCTCTCATCGGGCTCACAGACAGCCTGCAGCGGCCATCTCTTCCAGGCACCAGTCAACTGCCAAACAGGGAGTCTTAACCACACAAAAACTACCAAACAGGATTAGGGTGGACAGCTGCTAGCGTATCCACCATCTTTCTTTTTTTTTACTCCCCCCTCCTTCCATCAGCGGTTGTTTTATATAATAATCGAGATGGCAAACGTCTGTAACTTCTATACATTTATGCATAAGTGTACAATTTTTTAATCTGCCACACTAAAAAGTATAGACAGTACGAGCAGATATGGGTCACAGCATTAGACACAGACACGCTGCCAATCAGAAACTAACATCATAACCCTGAGCTGCACGCTATGACGAAGATAAAATAAAGTGAAAAATGTAAATGTTGGACAGCGAGGGCTCGGGAGCGAACAGCACTGGATAACACTCACCATTCTGGGAATGGGAGGCGAGAGAGAGCCGTTGTTCATGTAGGATTCATTGTTCATATTGGTCATCATGATGTATCCTGGGTAACTGGGGTACGGGTGGCCTTTGCTGTACATGTCTTGATGCTTGCCTGTTAGAGAATAAAATAAAGCAGCTTGAATGAATAAGATTTCCCATATATTCTCAATTAAATGCAATGCAGTTTAAATGTGAAATTTGTTAACAAATATTTGACGTGGTCCAGTCACTAAACTAAAGTATGCATGACTCTTGAAACATTCAGTGCCAATAAAATAAATCAAAATGAACTTCCTGACCAAATGTCACATTTTTAAAAATGCAAGAAATGCAAGCTAAACAGGAAACCAAGCAGTTCCTAACGGTATCTAAAACGGGGGCGCCGTTTTGAGGCCAGTGAAGTGTTTGGCTGAATGTTTGCATCCTAATTCACAGCAAGCAGAGAACAAAGCGGAAAAGACAATCAAGTCACTTCACTGTGACCCCAGCGCGGCGTAAAAAAGACCCGGGTGTAAACAGAGATCAAATGAACTCCGGGCCATCACAGCAACATGCTGCTCTTGACAATAGCGTCTCAGACGGTGTGTTTGGAGGCCAGCGTGTCAGAGGAAGATGGGGCACTTCCCTGGCACGTGTCATTACGTGTCGACACCAAACAGACTGTGGGCTGAGAAATTCCCTTCACAAAGCCTTCAGAATCAATTAATTAAAAGAACAAATCTAAATAATTACAGGCATATGTAGAAAAAAATAAATCTGTTATGCATTAGAACTGTAATACATTTTTTAAAGAAAATATATATAAATAAATGGACTTTTCTTTGCAAGTGTATGTTTTAACATAAGTGAATGAAAATGTTATGATTTTGTAAAGCATGCTGTTAAGAAAAAAACAAAACTAATTTACACCAAATCAAGGATTTAATAATATTACACATTTTTTCCCAAGCCATATGACTTACCATCATCCAGATGGTCCATGTGCTTCTCATGATAAGAGTCTGGTGTTATTTGGGACAGTCTAGCTGCCTGTTCAAAAATGTAGGAGAGAGATATTAACAACTTAATTTCTAACGTGCAATGTTATTGCTTTCGTTTTTTCCAGCACTCCTGCTTTATGAAAAAAGAAATTGTTCAATCCTAAAACCAAAGCTGACAAAATAGCGTATGTTTTATCATATTTTTAGGATAAGGCATCCATAAGTAGAAGATAACTTGCATTTTTTTATACATTAATTAACTCAGTCATTTTCTTTCTGCTGTGGAGACCGACCACAAATGCGGTATCTTGAGGAATGAAAAAGAAAGGCTTCGCTACTATTCTCGTTCACTCCGCATTATGAATCAGAAGTGCCGGGAAATGAACTCCATTTGGAGTTCAGCTCCCTCTGGGTGCCTTCCAGCAGAGTGAGGGATCTGCACTGCTTTCCCAATTAACATTCAGCCCATCAGTTTGTTCTTTCTCATGTCAAGCTGTAACCCTGCATGCTGTTGATGCCAGGAGGAAATATATTTCATTAATAAAGCAAAGCATCTTATTATTCTTTAGTTCAATTTACTTGATGCACATGACCAAGTAGAAATGGAGAAAAGCACACGATCAGAGAAACACAAAAAATAAAGTCAAACGAATTTACACCAGCACACAAATCTTGACAACTGCTTCACAAATGTCAGATGGATATAGACTTCCATTTTGTTTTATTGAAATAATTGTTTACTTTTCTTTTGTGTGAAATTGAAAATATGCAATTTAGCCTATATAATAACAGGCAAATTGCGTTGTTGCCACCATAAACAGGGTGTGCTGATTTTTAATACATATTAAAAATTAATATCAATAAATTAATTTTTTTAAAAGCATGTTGCAGTTTTGTGGTTAATTGTAAAAGAAAATCACAACAAACCAATCAGAGGCATAATAAGCGGTTTCAGAAATATTAAAATATGTGCATATTGCACCCATTATCTGGCAGACTTTAATGAACAATTATTAAAAATGTCAAAAATTACAGTATTAATAACAACAACAAAATGTAACGTTATTAGTAGTAGGGGTGCAGCATTGCACTATTATTTTTACATTCTTCTTAATAACTGTTTAACATGAATTGTCGAATAAACTAAATAAATATAATCTTACAAAAATTTCAAATAAAAATCATTATAAAAGCTGCTGTTTTGTTTGTGATGATCAGTAAAACACAAAAATATTGATCAACAGTGCCTTCTTTGACAATTAAATAAACACTGTTTTTTTTAAACAAACAAAAAATATATATAAAGCTATGATTTCAAACACTTTTTTTTTAAACAAACAAAAAATGTTAATAACTGGTTGGATAAATAAAAATACTGAACAATATATATATATAAAGCTATGATTTCTGTGGTGATTAAAGCAAATACTACTGATCAACGTGGCCCGTTCAGTCCTTTTTTCTCGCTTAAATAAGGACTGTGGGTTAAAATGAGTTTGTTTACTTTAACACGTGTAGCTCTGCCATTTAAACCACACACACACACTCACAGAACAGAGACACAGAACTGAGGTTAAAATATCAACACGACTCTTCATTCTGAAAACAAATCCCAACTTCCCAACAACTGGACACATGAAGTTTGACGGAGATGGCGCAGGACCTGCACGTGCGTTTGAGGCGTACTCACGTCGTGATTGCTACTGTTGGGGCTGATTTCTGTCTCGTTGACCAGAGATGACTTGATCTCTGCTAAGTCTCCCTCCTCCTCAGAGTGGATGATCTCCGCGAAGATCTGCTCCTTCTGCGGGTCTCCCTCGTCTTTGAACGGGATCATTTCATCGGTGGCACAGAGCTCCGGATCCCCGCCGCCTCCTCCACCTGACAACTGCGGCATTTCTCGGGTGATTGAAAGTCCTCCTCACCCTACAAACGCCCGGAAAGCGAAGACGTTAGACAGAAAACCCCCTGTATAATTTCAGCTGGCGCACTCCAAACACGCGTGCTACGGCAACACTCGAGAATCCAGAGGGGAAACGCAACGTAACGACGCTGGGTGTTTTAAAAAGTTAAAGTACGACTCCTGCGGTGTTCTTAAAGGCAAACGTTAGAAGTGTAAGTTGAACGTAGGACAGTTCTGACTGTTAAAAAAAAAAGTGCTGGAGTTCAGATGCTGTGTGTCATTCCCGTTTGGTTTCTTGGGTAAAAAGGTGTCCCTCTTCAGAAATGCGCTCAGCAGAGACTGAGAGTAATGTTGGGCTGGAGAGAGTGTAGTGCTGTACTCCTCCCCCTGATCTCTGACTGACAGTAGAGATGAAAGAGAAGCCGCCGCTTTGATTGACACCTCACTCACACACACGCGCGCACATGCATTGACTGACACTCCTGGGGAAAGTAAAGGGGGATTTTATACATTGCTTCCAACAAATGGACGGAGAGCGCAAAATGTGGAGGTAGGAGACACCAGTGCTGTTTTCCGATTCATTTTGGAACTGAAACGAAAACACGTCAGTTGAACCAATTAGAAATGAGCTTCAGGAGTGAAATCACTATCATGCATTATCTGTTTAAAATATAGGATTTACAGGACACATCTGAAGTGATTTGTGAACATATGAATAAATGCTGAATAACAAAACTGGCTTCATCTGAATCAGCAGGTTCTTTTGTTAAATTTGACATATAATGTTCAGTAAAGCTGAATTTGAAATATCATGACTGACCAGATTCGGGAGGGTTGAAACTGTTCCCAATGTACTTCCAATGGAACCACAAATATTGCACAAAATTGTATAGGCCTCTTATGATTTTAGATATGTTTTATGTATTTATATTTTTGTTTGCTTCTTTGAATTGAATTGATTCAAATGAAAGGTTGGAATGGTGATGGTGGGTGGCACAATTATAATATAATATAATATAATATAATATATGATTGTTAATAATTATTTTTGAACTACTACATTTAATCAAATGTAGTAGTTCAAAAATAATGATTAACAATCATATATTATATTATAATTGTGCCGCTTAAAATCAAAATGTACATTGCTCTTTTTTTCTATTAGTGTTACCAGTACTAAATAGTGAAAATGAACAGTAGAAAAATAGCTGACAAATATTGCTCTATAAAATTTGAGGCACACTTTGTAAACGATCATAATAAATAATCATTTGAATAAAGAAACATAAATGAAAAACAACAACAACAAAAAAAGACTAATATTAAAATGCCAATGTGAACAGAAATAAAACCTACTACGAGCGTAATCATTGATCTGCATTACATGGCAAAGGGTGACATCAAAGATGCCAAATGTAAATGCATGAATAGTATTTAATGCAGCTGTATAATGGAAGATGAGATTCCGTTTGAAAAGACCTAGGAAGTTGTTTTCATCTTAGTCATCTTATTAGTCCATTTTTTTCATGCATATTGCTCGATTTAATGAATACTTGATGTTGACCTGAATGCTTCTTTTGTTCTCAAGGTAATCTAAATTGAAATGTTTAATGTAATTAAGCTTATCTATAAAACATACACGGTTTAATCACCCAGTGTTTGATATACCACGTTTTTGTATAGCTTATGTAATTTCACTTGATCTTAGAGGTCACATTTAAACTCGAAAATATTTTAAATACATTACGAACTATTTCTATTGCATATGAGTAACCTTTAGATAACGTTCAAATAAATAAATAAAAATTAAGCATATTGCATAAATAAAGCACATTGCCCTGAAATTTGACGAGGCATATTTTATTATCAGCAGTATTTAATTGAAAACATAAAAACACAAGTTTTAATTTAGCAATTTAGTCAAATTATCACATTAACTAGATTTTATGAAATTCTTACGCATAAATGTAAGCAGCTACAAAATCTGCTCGAAAGATTCAAATATACAAAACCAGATAAATTAAAGGAGCCCTCCCTCAATGTATTAGAAAACAAGAAGGGGGAAGAAAAACCATTGGGAAGTGTTTCTGCGGCTTGCGTGAGAATAAGTTTGGAGTAGGAGGCAGATCTTTATAAAGCAGGCGGCGGTGGGGTCAGTGGGCGGAGCCGTGGCTGCCTTTGATCTGGCGGCGGCGGCTTCTTTCATCCCCTGCCTTTGTATGACCATATATGGCGTGAGGATGGAGACGGGCCAACATTTCCACGCGCGCCTTCATCCCAGCTGAGAGGGAAAGCGACGGTTCTCTTCCGGGTAAAGGAGACACAGCGAGAAAGATCAAAGGCTTTGGATTTGGAAGCCGAATGTGGATTCAAAGGAGAGAGAGAGGGAGAGAGAAAGAGAAAGAGAAAGAGAGAGACGGGCCTGGCCACATTCCAGAGTGTAGCGGAAAACTGAGCCTTAAACACACACACACACAAACACTCGCACATTCACTCACTGAGACTGGCTCCTGGGATAACAATCGAACCTTTCAGTTTTAAAATGAAATGTATGCATAGCAGGACAGATGTGTTGTTATTGTAAACCTTGTGGATTTATTTTAATGCATTTAAATGTAAGGCTCCATATAAAGTACATCAAGGCATGCCACAGTTCTGAGCCAGCAAGATCAAAACATTTATAATTTTAAAATAACAGATTCTGGACAATTATTGAATGTGTCTGCACTGACGAGATTTTTTATTGTATTTAAATAAATAAATATTGCTTTAGTATCAGAAAATAAAATGACTAATTCATTTTTGGAAGCTAGAATTAGTACTGGCAACTCTGCAGATTGATTATAAGCACATATACCGATAAAATACTATGAATGCACTGCTGCTTTGAATTAAAATAAATAAATACATACATACACATAACATAACTGTGAATAGAGAATATTAAATACATCAAGGCTGCCAGAAAGATCAAAACATGCATTTTTGAACTGTGCATATTTAAAAAACCTAATAAAAATATATATTTTTAAAATTTTATATATATACCAAAAGCCTAAAAATAAACACAATTTTGAATTTTAAATCCATAAATAATTTATGAATTTAACAGTAAAAATGTGGGCCTAATCAAATGTGGGCATACAGAAACAAAATGCTGTAATTCTGTCATCAATACAGACAAATCACAGACTTGAAATGCACACATACTTATCAAATGTATATCTTGAATGCATTATAAGTTACGTTAAATAAGTATCTGGCTAATGAATAAATGTTTATGAACAGTGATACCAGCAATATTTTAAATGCAAATTTTAATACAATTTAGTCAAGTGTCTTTGTAGAGGAATCCAGCTCTGTTTCTCTCAAAACAGTATATTACTGCCAATAATCAGAATAGAAGTCCAATTCACCGTATTTCCTAACATGAAAGATCTGACCTGATCATAAGAACAAGAACGTACAACTACCCGCATTTCAGCAAGACTTCAAAGGCAAACGTACACAGCTTATACATCATTTAAGAGCCGAGCATTGCGTCATCGCTGGACATTAGACTGTCAGAAATCATAATTTGACATAAACATCTACACTATGTACGCTGGTCGTTGAAGGCACAGCTCTTGCCTAGTATTTGTCTTTTACAGTAAGTAGGCACAATAACTGCCTTTTTTTCTTCAAAAAAAAATAGAGAAATATCGTGAAAGAGAAGATAATCCGCAAGTAATCCACATGACTCCAGTTCATCAGTTAACATCTCGTTAAGTGAAAATCTGCATGTTTGTAAGAGACAAATCCATCACTAAGACGTTTTAAACTTGAAACCGCTGCTTCCTGTTAAGATACTCTATACATAATGATGCTTTCTCCAGAGAAAAATCACCTTGTCTGAATCAGAAGAGAAAAATGCACAGATCAAGCACCGTTTACAAGCAAAAACAGCTTTTATATATGTCTGTGGATTTTGATGTGAGAGGACAAAGGGAGATGGACTTTTTCAACGGAGGAAGCGTTATTATGAATTATTTTGGCCAGAAGTGGTCCATTGGTGAACAAGTGATGTAATGTTAAATTTCTCCAAATCTGTTTCGATGAAAAAACACAATCATCTACATCTTGGATGGCCTGAGGGTGAGTACATTTACAGCAAATATAAATTTTTGGGTGAATTATTCCTTTAAGTACCTGTTCCTGGTCTTATTTTGAATGCAAAAATTGCATTTTGAAATGTTGTTTTTTAAAAGATTAAAAAGAGCGCAATTAGCTTAATACGGAACCATGATTTCAAGAATGACAGAGACAATTACAGTACAATACGGAGGAAACCTCACCCTCTGCTCTCCATGATAAAGCTGGCAGATGATCCAGCGGTTCTTCCACCTGCTTCAGTTCTGACAACCCCCCGAATCGAAAATTATAGCTGTGAAGCTCCCAGTCACCGCTAATAAACGACAGGAAACAAACATCACATTAAGATGAAAAGAGCATACAATTAAAGTTGAGAGGGGGAAAAGAAAGCCATTTATCAGTCAAAAGAAGCAGAGTTAGAGGTGGGTGAGGTCTGAGGCAAGAGATGATTTTTGCTACTCTTTTATTGGTGGGAACACAGGTGATGTTCAGAGGAAGGGAAAGTGTCTGGAGGGGATGAGTTGAGCGTTCAGCCCCACTTCTGTCCTGTGATCTGCTGATTTATAACACGGCGAGAAGCAGACATGCTGTTATTAAAATAAAATCATATTCTGGATGAAGCTGGGGAGGGGAAAAGGCCCAACAGGGGAAATTTGTTATGCTGGGTTATTGAGTTTAGAGCCCTAGCTCTGCACCTACACAAATTCACTCTTGCCAAGCGTAATACACTAAAGCCTGTCAAAGTGCATAATAAAAATTAAAAGACTTACAAACAATACATGCATAAGAGTTGAGGTATACGTAGAATGTCTCTCATAGCGTGTGCATGTTTATAAGGCATTCTGAATGTCAGGTTGGGGCAAGTTGTCACAGTTTTTTAATATAATTTAGTGCTTAAAATTAAATTATTTATGCTGGAACTTATATATCATGTTTTTATATTTGCTGTTTTTGTGTTTATATACAGCAAGAACGGATTAAATTTATCAGAAGTGAAAATAAAGACATTTACAATGTTACAAAAAAAATTTTCAAATAAGTGCTGTTATTTAGTTAAAACACCTTAATGATGGATTTGTTTCTTACAAACATGCAGTTTTTTACTTCACAAGATGTTAATTGATGGACTGGATGGAGTTGTGTGGGTTACCATAGCGTGTGCATGTTTATAAGGCATTCTGAATGTCAGGTTGGGGCAAGTTGTCACAGTTTTTTAATATAATTTAGTGCTTAAAATTAAATTATTTATGCTGGAACTTATATATCATGTTTTTATATTTGCTGTTTTTGTGTTTATATACAGCAAGAACGGATTAAATTTATCAGAAGTGAAAATAAAGACATTTACAATGTTACAAAAAAAATTTTCAAATAAGTGCTGTTATTTTGAACCTTCTATTCATCAAAGAATCTAAAAAAAAAAGTAACATGGTGTCCACAAAAATATTAATGTTTCTTGAGCAGCAAATCAGCATATTAGAATGATTTCTGAAGGATTATGTGACACTGAAGACTGGAGTAATGATAATAATGCATCACATGAATAAATAAAAATTTAAAATATATAGAAACCAGTTATTTTAAATTGTAATAATATTTCACAATATGACTGCTTTTACTGTAATTTTGATTTAAAAAATGCATGCTTCAGTGAAC